CAGGTTTTATGGGAGCATGAGGCTTAGAGACATGGCTCGAGGAAATGACCTCTGGGTTAAGAGCTGAAGAAAAAAAAAAGAAAACCTTAAAAAATACTGATACCCCAGTCCGAATTAATATAGAGAAGTGCCGTCCCTTCTCCAAGGCCACCACTAGCTCATAAAATGCCTCTGCGTGAATTAGAGAATGTGGCTCTTGCTATCCTGGCTGGCTCAATGGCGCACCCCAGTGGCCCACCTTTGTGTGTGACCCAAATGGCACGTCCACAAAGTGTGTCCCTTCCCCACGGGGCAGGTTTTGTTTTATCAAAAACACTATTTCACCGAATTTAGCTGATGGAGAAAATATAGGTTGAAGTTACTCACATTTCAAAAGATTGCAGACAAGTCAAGATTAATTAATTCCTGGTTAAAGATAATTAAAGATTTAACAGGAAAAAAGAAAAAGTGAAAATGTTTCAATTTCCTATGATAAAATATAAATGATATATGATTCCTCACTCTGAAAATATAACTCTAAAAAGAACATGTTTCTAGTTGACTTTTGTTGTTCTACCCAAAAGGAAGCCCAAACATCAGAAACTTCTCTACTCTATTGTGAAGTGGAGGGAAGACCAGTTGGAAGAAAGGAATGACCCGGAAGCACAGAACAGTCTGTAGAGATGATGATGAGGGTTGCATTTGCACAGCTGAAATGTGGGCATCACAGCTGCAATAATGACAGCGAGGGACAGAGGTGGGAGGCAAAGCTGGAAACACTCGCAGAGACCAACTCACGGAAGACTATGTTGGTATGCAAGCTGTGGCGTAAATTTTAATACAGTTTGTATCTATCTTGTTTAAAAGGTGTCATGCTTATATAGGGTAGAAAACATATGTGGTAGAAATACAGTACTAAATTACTAACATATGTGGTAGAAATACAATACTAAATTACTAACAAAGAGCTTATAAGAAAAACAACAGGAATCGCCCAAACCCTACTCCCTCTTTATCTCCCCCGTTTCTCTACTCTTTCAATCCTACTCTCCCTAAGAAACTATTTCAAAACTTAAAAAAAAACAAGTCTTTTACTTCTCTTTATTTTTCTTTTCTGTTCCTTCCTTTCTTCCTTTCTTTTTCTTTCTTCTTTTCTTTTTCTTTCTCTCCCTTTCTTTCCTTCCTTCCTTCCTTCCTTCCCTCCCTCCCTCCCTCCCTCCCTCCTTTCTTTCTTTCTTCCTTCCTTCCTTTCTTTCTTTCTTTCTTTCTTTCTTTCTTTCTTTCTTTCTTTCTTTCTTTCTTTCTTTCTCTCTCTCTCTTTCTTTCTTTCTCTCTTTCTTTCTTTCTTTCTTTTCTTTCTTTCCTTCTGACAGAGTCTTGCTCTGTTGCCCAGGCTACAGTGCAGTGGTGTGATCTCGGCTCACTGCAATCTCCGCCTGCTGGATTCCAGAGATTCTCCTGCCTCAGGCTCCCAAGTTGCTGGGACTACAGGTGTGAGCCACTGCACCCCACTAATTTTGCATTTTTTTTTAGTAGAAATGGGGTTTCCCCATACTGGCCTGCCTGGTCTTGAACTCCTGACCTCGTGATCTGCCCGCCTCAGCCTGCCAAAGTGCTGGGATTACAGATGTGAACCACTGCGCCCAGCAAAACTCTTTTACTTCTATAGGTATAAATAGTAGACTTACACCATTACAATTTTATTACAAACTTTCCAATCATATACAAAAGTTGAGTAAGGATCCTTCAAGAGCCCCTTCACTCAGCTTCGATAACAAACAACATTTGGCACTGTCGTTACCAGTTCTCCAGTACCAAAGAAAATGTATGCTTCCCAGTACAGCCAGTAAAAGTCTGTGGTATGCACTTCATCACCCTGGCAAGGGTCACCTTCCCATCACTTGAACCAATCCTTGTTGGAAGGTATGGACAATAAGATGAGCCAGGCATAGATTCTGCGCCCACTCCTGCCACCAGTGTGGGCCAACCCCTTCCAAACCAAGTGGACTCTGTGTTGAGGTTGGTGTACCAAAGGAAACCAGAGGAAAAGTGATGGGGCTTTTAGCAAAGCAATTGAGTGGCTCATGGGAGGGAAAAGCAAATCAAACCCATGTCCTGTACAGTAGTGATTGGACAAAAATATATAGTCCAAGGGAAATTATAAGAACTAGCTCCAAAGTGAGACAAGCTAGATTCAGTATCTATCCTACTGTTCACAGGACATGATTTTTCTTTGGGTTGGTTCCAAGACCACCCAATAATTTTCTTCTAATAATTTTTCTAGACTTAGAACTGTGAAATTATGGAAGTAGATGTCTCAGAAATCATGGATTATCCCTATCACTGGCAGCAAATTAGTTTCTGTGAATAGACAAAATGATCTGAGAGTATTGCAGTTACAATTAACTATAACTTTAAAATAAGAGGCGAAGTCACAGTCTCTCCGTATGAGAGACAAGGAGCTACAGACTCCAGCTTCTACCAGGAATGTGTGTATGTGTGGAAGAAGCCAGACATTGTCTCTGTCTCTAGGGCAATCTATTAAACCCAATGATATCCATCATTTTACCCTAACATCAAAAGAACACCAGTTCTGCAACCTACAGAATAGGAGAAATTTTTAGAAAGCTACCCATCTGACAAGGTCTAATATCCAGAATCTGCAAGGAACTTAAACAAATTTACAAGAAAAAAAAAAATAAACAACATCAAAAAGTGGGTGAAGGATATGAAAAGACACTTCTGAAAGGAAGACATTTATGCAGCCAAGAAACATGTGAAAAAAGCTCATCATCACTGGTCACTAGGGAAAGGTAAACCAAAACCACAATGAGGTACTATCTCATGCCAGTTATGCCAGTTAGAATGGCGATTATTAAAAAGTCAGGAAACAACAGATGTTAGTGAGGCTGTGAAGAAACAGGAATGCTTTTACACTGTTGTTGGGAGTGTAAATTAGTTCAATCATTGTGGAAGACAATGTGGTGATTCCTCAAGGATCTAGAACAAGAAATACCATTTGACCCAGCAATCCCATTACTGGGTATATACCCAAAGGACCATAAGCCGTTCTACTATAAAGACAGATGCGCACATATGTTTACTGCAGCATTATTTACAATAGCAAAAACTTGGAATCAACCCAAATGCCCACCAATGATAGACTGGATAAAGAAAATATGGCACATATATACAATTGAATACTATGCAGCCATGAAAAAGAATGAATTCATGTCCTTTGCAGGGACATGGATGAAGATGGAAGCCATAAATCTCAGCAAATGAACACAGGAACAGAAAAGCAAATACCACATATTCTCACTCATAAGTGGGAGATAAAAAATGAGAACACATGGATATAGGGAGGGAAACATCACACTGGGGCCTGTCGGGAGGTTGGGGGCAATGGGAGGGAGAGCATTAGGACAAATACCTGATGCATGCAGAGCTTAAAATCCAGATGATGGATTGATAGGTGCAGCAAACCACCATGGCACATGTATACCTATGTAACAAACCTGCACGTTCTGCACATGTATCCCAGAACTTAAAGGAAAAAAAATAAAAATAAAAAAAAAGAACACCAGTTCTGGAGTTGAATTTTCTGGTTTCAAATTCCTTCTCTACCCAAGGCTGGATTACCCAAAGGCAGACAAATCACATTCTGAGGCAGGCAGAAAATCAGATATCAACACCTTTTTGGAAGTTCAATCTGTTACTGATTGAAAATTCAGTAGTAAACATCAGAAAAATCCAGACTCTGTTGAACATATTTTCATCTATTTTCTAGGTGACATTTTGTTTAAATTGTAAACCATTCATGAAGAATAAGTTCCACAATGTTTTCATTGCTATGGACTTCAATTAAGCCCTGGCTCTGCCTCTTATTCACTTCGTGACTTCAAAAAACTTATTTTATGTCCCTTAGTGTCAGTTTCCTCATCTATGAAATGGGGATGATACTAGTACCTACCTCAGAGGTCTGCTGGGAAGATAACATGAAATCACTCACAGTAAATAGCTCACATAATGCCTGGAACATACTAATCACTCATTACGTGTTACGTGTCATTACTGTTCTTCCCTTTGACAAATGTTTCATGAACACCTTTCATGTGTAAAGCCCCTGGCAAAGGGTACTAGAGAAATAAAAAGAAATTATCTAGAATTGGGAAGGATAGACTGACGGGATTCAGCAAAAGACATGCCCTAAATTAGTTCTCCTCGTGGGAAGTCAATCTACTCTCCACAAAGCCTAAGGAATGATATTCAAAACAAACAATAATATGGTCTAAAAGTAAACTGGAGAAAGTAGCTAGGCATACACCCATTAATCCCAGAGACAAATCTCCAGTGAGAACCCTTCCTAACCGAAGAGTCACGATGGGCTAGAATGAGATTAAGAGAAAGCTCAGGGTGCTGGGGTGTGGGTTGATGAAGTGAGGATTGCGTCTGCTGCACCCAGTAATCCTGTTCCAGAGTGAAGCCCACTGTGCCTGTGGAGCCCCCACCCCCATCAAGTGCCTTGATTCCATGGTGACAGATGCCTGTTTTGTGGTATGAACGAATAGGCATGTAGACTTAGTAGCAGCTGTTAACATGACTTTGTCCTTTGGTTGAAGGGCAAAGGGCAAACCCTGGAAGATGGAGCTAACCCCAAAGACCCAACCTCACAGCCCTCAGTTTGAGCACATGGCATTTTTCTTTGGGTTAGGTTATACCCGAGAATCATTCCAGAAGTGGGAGAATAAATAGAGAAAGGGCTAGGATACTGCTGACAACTACCATTATTATCATGTCTGGGAAAACACTGATATTCTCTAAATATACAAGGACTGAATGCTAACGCCAAGGGGGTCAACACTGAAGAGAGATTCAGTGCCCAGGATGTGCACGCTAGACTGAACACCGTAACAGTCCACTATGGGACCAGGAGAAATCTCAGGAATACCCTTATAGACACGTAATGTCTCTGCATGTGGTGGTGCACAAACACGTTCACCATTATCAAACAACAGCTGTGCGAGGAAAAGATTTGTATGCTCATGTCATGGATGTGAGACAGAAACACAGAGAGGTGAAGTGATTTTCCATAGCACCAAAGCTGGTTTAGGGCTCTCTCCACTATTCCAGTGTGTCTCGCTTGCTTGACGAAAACTTCTTCAAGCATAATAAGTTAGAAGCCTTGTTCAGGGACGGCAGGGATGAGAAAGAGGTATCAGGTTGTTATGGGAACCCATGGTCTTTAGAGCTATTGGTCAAAAATAGAAGCCTCAGGATGGCAGGATGAAAGATCCTCTCTGGGAGACTAAGAGGTGAGGTGAGTCTCTTGGGGAAAGCAATAGTGTAAGCAGAAAAACAATAAAAAGAAGCACAAGGCACCTTTTTCAGAAAGGGGCTCCATTTTTTTCTTATGACCTTGGCCACCATCTAGTGGTCAGGCTTGGAAGCGGGATCCAGGCTCAGATACTGAGCACACATGGCCAAAGCCTAGTGGTGGAGTTGCCGGCGTGACCCTGCTTTTTCTCTCCCGCCTTGCGGGGCATCCTTCACTCCTTGGCACGGAGGTATACTTGCATGGGGTTTTCCTGCCACTCTGGTAGGGAGGCCAGGCTGTCAGCCACCTCCTCCTGGACAGGCCAGCCCCAGGCCTCAAAGAAGGGAACCAGGTTCTTCTTCACTTTTTCAGAGAACTTCTTTACCCATAGGTTCATCCTGCCAGTGTTGTCTTTGGGGAGATGAGAGAGGGTCTGGTACTCAGCAAAGAGCTGGGTGAATGGCTCCCACCCGAAGGCCTCCTGGAGCTGACAAGGGAAAGAAGGAACAGAATGAGGTGTCAAGTTTGCAAAAGTGATGCGACATGTGCGTTCTTAAAAATATTTCATTCACATGATCACCTCCCCTCAATCGTTACCTTCATCCTGGGTATGTGTCCCTATCTTCCCACTCTACCCCTGCACAATAATGCAATTTCATTGCTCATTCCACCTCTCAGCCACAAAACATCACCCCCTGAATCTAGTGGGGGGTGCTCAGGGAAAACCTAATGTCTGAATAGAGGTAAACACTCAATAAATGACCACTATTAGTATCTTTAATTTAAAAAATTGTCTTCCCAGATCTCAAGTATTTTCCTCAGCATCAGGACAGGTTTGGACCTTACTGAGATGAGAAACCCTCACTTCCTACATATTTGGCCTATTGAGATTCTAAAAGGCTGCAAACCTCGAATACTATACTTTCCAGGTATGATACTAATCCTTATTTTTTAGATAACCGTCTCGGACCTGTGACTATCTGCAATGATACAAAATTGCTCTGTAGAACACTGCATTTAGGGCAGAAAAAGAAAATACTCCAGCCTGTCTTGAGGGGCTACAAATGAGAGTGGCTCATACTTCTTAAGGGGCAGCCCTCCGGAAAGCCCTTGGCAGAAGGCCCCTGTTCACTAAGATTATACAAATTTCTAGTTAGCAGGGGTCTGGGGTTTCCATCTCTACTCTCCCTTTAATAAATGAGCATTCTCTGACTCTAGCTTGTAAAAGCCCAAGGATAGATAACACTACCGAAGTCAAGCCTCCCTCAGAGTCTCACTGCTGTACCCTCATTATTGCTCATCTGTTCTTTACTGGCTTGCTCTTTGACACTTATTAATGAATACGTCAATAAATTAAGCATTTAATAAACATATAACATGTATTAGACATCCAGACCCTGCCAGCTACTGTGCTAGGCAAACATGATTAAGAGCTCTTGTCCTTCTAGAGAACACTGGCCAAAGGGAGAAACACATGTAAATAAACACATTATTAAAAATGTTGGTTTATCAAGGAGGCGATGTCCAGGAGAGAAGGGGACAACAGAGCTGAATTTGGACAAGTGACTTGACAGCTAATGAACAAGATGTTCCAGCATGATTCAGCAGCAGGAAGCAAACAACGGGAGGCACAGAAGCCAAAACAGCAAGATGTGTCCGTAAGCATAAGCAGGTTGGCATGCCGGAGGGTAAATGTGGAGGTGACAGCAGGAGATGTAGCTAGAGGCACTGGTGGGGCTGGTCATGAAGGGCCTCCTATGCCCTGCTAATGAGCTTTGACTTTTCCCTATATGTGCTAGAGAACACTGTAAGCATTTTATAGACAGAGTATTCACATTATTTTGGAAGGAGTGTAAGGAAGAGGAATCATAGAGCATTGAGGCAAGATGCTAGGACAATTTAGAAGGCTACTGGAATACACTGAGGGAAGACTAACGAGGCCCGAGCTAAGGCAGCAGCAGCACGGATGCTGGGGAGAAGCCCGCTAGTGGGAAGAGGAGTCAGAAGGTGCCTGTTTGTCTTGAGGCCAAGTCCCAGACTTGGTCTCTCTAGAGCTATTGAGAAATGATATTCAGGGCTCCACAGTGAGTCGGTAGCAGAATAGGACAGAATCAGGGCTTAAATTTACAGTTTAGGGTCAACCTACCATTGTGGTCAGTGGTCCTATATACCCCCAGACTGGCTATCTAAGGATATGGAAATGAATGCAGTACAAAGTTACCTCATTAACTGGGACTGTCTCACATTCACTCTTCACAAAATTAGTGAAAGGCACAAAAAACTAAGAAAGGGCATGGCAATGCGAAAGCCTGGGGCTTGTCATTAGGTCCTGATTTTAAGTTCTAGGTCCTTCATTTAAATGGGGGATACTGGACAGGTTGCTTAAATTCTTTATAACTTATGCTATATTTCTATTTTTTCATAATATTTTTCATTTCCTCGTACATCTCAAAATCAGAAGGTGAGTGAGACAGGTGCTAGTCTCTCTGCCTTAGAGGGGTATAACTCAAGAAGCACCACCATGTGGCCCAGTCCCTCTCATTTCCAGGGGAGGTGGTGGTCCCTGGACCTAGTGGGGTGGTGAAGGAGCTGGAGAGCTACTGAGATCCAGGTCGCTACATAACTGAAGGGTCTGGTCATCTCCTTCTCCCAGAATTTCTGCTCAGTACCTGTAGATATGTTTCCAGGGCTGTCCACACATTCCAGCCACACAGAGGGGCTCCCTTTCCCAGGTGGGCCTTGATTCTCTTCTCTCGCTCTGGAGGGCTCAGAGCCTCGTGGGCCTGAGCCCTGGGGATCCCTAGGACTGTTTCATGCACGTAGACTGACCAAAGGTTGCAGGTGGCCTCAGTAGTGTGCGGGGGGAACTCCCATCCATGCCGCTGTTGGTTGTGGCCCAGCTCATGGATGGGGCCCCACACACCCCTGCTCCTCATGTCCATCTCGTTGATGATCTCCTTCACAGACTCCAGGTGGCACATGATGGGGTATCCTGAATGCATCCAGCCTGGGAACACAGAAGGAAGAGATGAGCATTGAGGAGGGTCTGCCCAAACTGTCTCCTTCATTCTTCTCCATTATGGGACTTTTCTTCACCATCCTGGTTATCCCCAATAATTGCAGAATCTCTGTGCTGATTGGAAAGCAAATAGCTTTCTCCTACTTGGTCAGAAACTGAATAGTACCTAATCTCCTTCTTAGCCTCTCACACCTGAGTTGTGGCCTCCTCCTCACTCTGGCCCCGGAGAATACGGTTACACTTTACATAGTCATTCTTGCTGTAATTCGACACCTTCATTTTGTGTGTGTGAGTGTCCTTTACATGTCAGTCTGATATAATGATGTCCTATGACTGGATCTGAGATCCTTGAGGGCTAGAACAGTGTTATTCTTTCTTCCCCATGTATACTACTTTTGTCCAAATTTACACTCTATGATAGAGGTAATTTTTGTCCTTATTTGAAGCTATGAAATTTGAGGTATGAACTTTCCCCATGTGGGATCCGCAGTTCCTTATTTCTCTTCCTATGCACCTCCTTCTTTTTAATCACTCAGTACTTACCATAAACCTCCTTATGTATTTCCTCTTTTCATTTCCACCTCGGCTTATGTTTGAAGAAAATAGTTGATTTTCTATGCTGTCCTTGAAATGACTCTGGTTGCCATCTATGAATTTGCAGTACAACTTTTTCTGAGATTGTTCTACCATCTGCTGAAATCTCACCTTGTAGATATCAATAGTTCATTTTTTTCACATGTAAACATTCTTTCATCCCCATTGTGGTCAATGTCTTTTATATCTTTTTCCCTTGCTTTCCTAATAAAAATATGCTTACACATCTTGGACGTTCATAAAAGGCAAAGTAATAGATACATGGTTTCCACTGACTAGGAGGATTCCCTGGGAGCACCCACCAGCTGAGATCTGCACATCAGCCACAATCCTCTCGGGACGGCGGAGAGGGAAGGGTTCAGCCGCCAGCCTGGCCACAGCCTCCATCATCTCATCCCAGAGGCGGAGCACAGGCTCGGGGTCCTTCAGGGCCTGGAGGTTTGTGGTTGGCACTGTCAGGATGATGTTGTCCGTGGCCAGCTCTCCCCAGGGAGCCGGGTCCTCCTGCATCTGCCTCTTCCACTCTTCTAGTGATGTCTTACCTGGGAATAAATATCATGGAACCTACCACACCCACTTCCCCGACTTCCTTTGAGCTGAAAAATACCACCTGAACTCTGGAAGAACATTGCAATAATGAACTCCTATCACAGGGGTCTATAGGCTATAAAGTGAAGAAAACGCTTCCTGACTCTTCTCTTTGTCTGCTCGGAAGTATCCATAGACACAGGGTATTCCATATCTCCTGCCTCCACGTTCTCCCCCAACAGTTCTTCCTCTTTCTCTCCACCAAACCTTATTTCTCTCCCATTTAGCAACCATCCCACAGTTTCCATGGCATCTGCCACTCTTCCTCCTCCCTAGATGTTCATTCCACTTACCCAACTTGTAGTATGGGGCAGGCACAGCCCCCCTGATAGTGACAGACACAGGGCCTAGTTGGCTGCCCTTGGGCACGATGACGTAGAGGAGGCCGCCCCAGAGGCAGGAGACTGACCGTTCAGTCCTGTCCATACAGCATTGATGAGTCACCACGGGGGCTCGAGATAGCTTCCTGGCCTTGGTTAGGTCGTCGGTGTGGCAGCCAATCTGTACCTGGACAGGTGATTCCACCAAGTGATGGAGGAATTAGAATCCTTGTGATGTGCGTGTGAGGTTGTTTAGATGGAAGATATTAGACAAACATGCCCATGAAACCCCAGCTTCCCTTATCTATGTGCTAGGCATGGAAACTTCTCAATTTTAGCAGTCCAAAGTCATCTGGACTTCAAAGCACGTAAAATCATTTTTCCAAGGATTTAAACAGCTCCACCATAAATCTTCACCTGACATGAATTGGTGAGAGACCAGGCTAATCCTGGCAAAGGTCTTCTGTCTTTCTGCCAGGCAAAATCCTGGGCTCTTCTAACAGGACCTAAGCCAGTCTGGTGACACTGATGTTGGGGATGAGCTGGGGGACTGTGCTCTGTCCTCTGTGAACACACAGGAGGCCCATCCAGAGTGAAAGGTTGATTCTCTCTCCCTCTTTGTCCAGAGCTTCCCTTTCTGGCTGCCAGATGGGTGGAGATCTGTTTTGTCTGGAGTCCTGGAGTTGCTTTTCTTAGGTTTGATATAAGCAAGCTCCAGAAAGAATGCTGACAGAAAAGAGGCCCTAGCTGTGGTAGGAAGTGGCCCTCAGAGTCAAGGAGGCCGAATGAATTTAAATTCTGCATGTAGGGCATATTTTGGGGAGTGATGGGATTTTCACACCCTTCAGATGTCAAGATAAAGAGATAAAACCAGAGTTTGTGCAGAATGAGCTTGCTGACACCCAGCCCAAATTTCTAGCGCATGTTTCATACTAACTCCCTCTGAATTTGCACGTGGGACCCATGAGGAGGCATGAAGAGGTAACTGCCCATGCCCGAGGATTCCCAGCCCTTCCTTTTCCTTCTGTCAGTCACCTACTAATCACATCATCCACTCCCTAAACCTTTTCTAATAAAGTAACTCTTTAAGTACAATGGGACAGATTTGAGCTGGGCTCCTGTCTCCTTGTTAGTCCAATTGCAATAAAATGCTTTTTTTAAAATGAAACATTCAAGTGTCATAGTTTTGGCTTCTAGTCCATTCTGCAGTGAGCTTCTTTTGCTTGATGACACTAGGCACTTCAGTCACTCACTTAGATGGCCTAACATTTAGCTGCTTCATCTGTAAAATCTGTAAAATGGGCAGAATAATCCATCTCTGTACTCCTGGCAGCATTGCCATGAGCTGGAGCTAGACAGTGGATGAGAATGACACAGCTCTCGGGTTTTGAGGGGCGGCAGATGTGGGTGTTCAGACCTTACCCGTAGGCCAGCAGAGGTGGCAACTTCAGACAGTGAGACTTCTGCATTTTGTCCTTCCAGGAGGTAGAGCCCGGTACTTACCCAGCAATCACTGTTGCCTGACAAAAGTCATAGAGAAGGCTCAGTTCTTCCTTCCTATGTGACTCTATCTCCACTTGGGGCCTCCCAGTCTCTCCCAGTGGCACAGCTTCTCCCCTGTGTATCTCAAGTCATCCGCACTTCTCCTTAGACTCATCCCTCCTAAACCTTAAGCAGAGTCCCAGCCCCCATCTTCTTGAAAGTACCTGATAAAGAATGCAGTCTGCTGGGCCCAGTGGCTCATGCCTGTAATCCCAGCACTTTGGGAGGCCGAGGCAGGTGGATCACCTGAGGTCAGGAATTCCAGACCAGCCTTACCATTATGCATTTATGCTATTTCTCTTACTGCTTATGAAACCCCATCTCTACTAAAAGTACAAAAATTAGACGGGCCTGGTGGCGTGTGCCTGTAGTCCCAGTGACTCAAGAGGCTGAGAGAGGAGAATTGCTTAAACCCAGGAGGCGCAGGTTGCATGAGCCGAGATCGCGCCACTGCACTCCAGCCTGGGTGACAGAGTGAGACTCTGTCTCAAAAAAAAAAAAAAAAAAGGATTGGGGTCAATCTTCCTGAAGGTAAGTACTTGCAACGTCCTGTGTAGTGTCAGCCAATCCCACTTTCCCCTATGTCTTTAATGTTCTGGGCATTCTCTCCTGTTTTCATACCTGGGTTGATTCCGTCAATCTCCACAGTGATGGGGTGTTTTGAGGGGTACAAACTAGAGGAGCAGGTCCAGGTGCCAAGCCCCTGGGCCAGCTGGGAGCAGTCAGTTCCAGAGTGAGCCAGCCCAGTGGCCAGGGAGAGCATGGCAGCCTCATAGGAGTCACTGGCAACTGGATTTTCCCGGCTCACAGCTGGGAGGCCTGACCCTCGTAGCATCTTCCTCAGGAGCCTGTGCAGGGATATGTAAGCAGGGATCCCCTCCGCAGGAATCTGTAGGAAGGCTGCACCATCAACTCTCAACTTTGCCAGACAGCTCTTTTCCAAGTTCCCATTCTCATGGTTCAGGATAGCCTGGAATTCAGAGAGCGCCTTGCGGAAGTGGTAGCTTCTCATCTCAAGGGTGGGAACAGGGAAACAGCCTGCTTTGAGAGTCTGAGGCAGGATGCTGAGGCCAAAGCAGTTGAGGATGACGTTACCAGGGAAACCAGCCAAGGGGCAGTGGCCAGGGTTCTGGGAGGCCCACCACCAGGCCTGGCCCCCAATCAGCAGCCCCCCACCCTCAGCCACAAACTCCTGCAGCTGCTTAGCCTCCTTGTCACTGTACGCCTTGCAGCAGTAGACACACAAGTTGCTGTTCAGATGGGGCTCCAGGCTGCATTGCAGGCCATGTTCCGATAGGAGGGGACACAGATCTTTTAGATTTGTGTTCACCCCAACTTTGCCTGTCTGGCCTCTGGCCAGCCAGCGCACCGCATTGAGCAAGAAGGACCCCATCTTGGGAGCACAGAGCAGGCACTCGTGGGCAGCCAGGACCACACGGCCCCGGCCATAGCGAGCAGCTGCCAGGAAGCAGTTGAGTGAGGCATCCAGCCCCAGAGGGAAGGCCAGGGCTCCATGCACCAGCAGCTGTGAGGGGACTCCCCCTGTCCTGATGTCCAGCTCTGAGATCCCCTCCAGGAGCTGCTGCTGGTCCTGCCTGACATCCTCCCCACACCTGGAAGAGACAGGAGAAACAGTGAGTCTACAGTCAGTTAATGAGCTACTGAATCAAACTCATTGAATAGAGAAATCTATGTGCAGGTAGGAAGATTGCATTGTTGATGTCAATCTTCACATTCTTACTAATATTAGGATTTCAGCATGTTAACATCATTTATTTTTATCATGTTTAAGACATATTTTTTCACTTTTTTTTTTACAACTGATGGCATATTATCATTTAATTGGCAATGTTTGGTCTTTGTTTTTTTTTGAGATGGAGTCTTGCTCTGTCACCAGGCTAGAGTGCAATGGCACAGTCTCGGCTCACTGCAACCTCTGCCTCCCGGGGTCAGGCAATTCTTCTGCCTCAGCCTCCTAAGAAGCTGGGTCTATAGGCGCATGCCACCACACCCAGCTAATTTTTGTATTTTTAATAGAGACAGGGTTTCACAATGCTGGCCAGGATGGTCTCGATCTCATGACCTTGTGAGCCCGCCTCAGCCTTCCAAAGTGCTGGGATTACAGGCATGAGCCACCACGTCCAGCGTGGTCTTTCTCAGTGATACATAAAATAATGGCATTTTTCACAATCAATGTTGTCATAGATTTCAGGAAACGCTATAGAGGGAGTGCCCTTACTTGCATATCTTAAAATCCACATTTTCTAAATGAACACCTCCAGGAATTCCTCCCATTTAGTCAACTAAGTGTTGAATATTGTGGCTTCAGTTTCTTGACTTTTAAAATAATTAAACATATAAACAAATTAAGTTAGAAAAATTAGTTTATTATGTCCAGAGAAAGTAGTACTGCTTATGAATTACTCGAGCTAACTTTCTGCAAAGGAAGATTGCAAAAACACCAAATTTGGACTCTCCATAGGGTAGTTCTGATCTAGGAACACATCAGAAGTAAATTGTTTAACACTACACTTGAAGATTTATACAAACACACACTGTTTTTAAAAATTCACTTAGATCTGGTTAGAGTATTCACTTCTTTTTATTAAGGAATAGCCAAAATGTAATGAATCAAGAAAAGGTTTTGTATTTCAAGAATTTTTAAAAACAATTTGTATATACTGTAAATGTCAAGCAATAGGAGGTTGGTTAAATAAGTTATGGTTAACAATAGATTGCAAACCATATTGTGATGAAAATAATTATCAGATAATTTGAAAAATGCTTAATGGAAAAACTTTTAAGATTAGATTCCAGGATACCATGATCTAAATAAGCCAAATTTTAGGGGAAAAAATCAAAAACCATAAAACCAGACACTGAAGCAGAACCTAAAGCATATTTATCAAAATATCTTTGTTAAAAAAAAAGTCTTGGCCGGGCGCAGTGGCTCAAGCCTGTAATCCCAGCACTTTGGGAGGCCGAGACGGGCGGATCACGAGGTCAGGAGATCGAGACCATCCTGGCTAACACGGTGAAACCCCGTCTCTACTAAAAAATACAAAAAAACTAGCCGGGCGAGGTGGTGGGCGCCTGTAGTCCCAGCTACTCGGGAGGCTGAGGCAGGAGAATGGCGTGAACCCGGGAGGCGGAGCTTGCAGTGAGCTGAGATCCAGCCACTGCACTCCAGCCTGGGCGACAGAGCGAGACTCCGTCTCAAAAAAAAATAAAAAATAAAAAAAATAAAGTCTTCAGTGGTTTGTCTTGGCTGATGGGATTTTAGGTCCTTTTAATTATCTTATAAAACTTTATTGTCTCAAATTTTAAAATTAACATCTATTTCTCTTATAATTAAAAATTAAATGTTATATTTTTTAAAAGTATAGTTCATTTATTCTAGTAGTAAAACATTATTGAAAAATGTAACACTTGTTCAGATTCTCTTTCTTTTCAGCATGAAAATGAGGAGATGGCATGTCTTAGTTTTGCCATCCCATTTTCAGGCTGACATGGTAAATGTCATATCAGGTATCAGTTCTGCCTGTGGCTTTTTGTTACCTGTTGAAACTCAAGATAATTTGGGGAGTTAATGACATTGAGCTACAAGACTTAATAATAAAACATTCCACTCTAAGTGTGCTTAGCATCTTCTCACAGGCACCTGGCAAAGTCTCAGCTAATGGCAGTAAACCTTCAATATAGAAAGCTGCAGATACCGTCTCCACAGCTAATTGAAATGATTGCTTACATTCATCCACGTGCCCACACACACATACAAACCACAGTAGCATTGGGAATCTAGGAAGTGACTAGAATGGGTGACAAAAGTTGCAACAACTACATAGAATTAAAGAAAAAAACCCAAGAACTTCTTAGCATAAAGGGCAGCATAAATAAAGTTAAAGAAGGTGAGATCATTGAGAGAAAAATATTTGCAACAGATTGAACAGATACAAAATTAGAATCCAGAATATATGAGTAATTTCTAAGAATAAACAGAAAAGCAAAAAAACTGAAAATAGTTTTAAACTATATTCTCAAACAGCTCATGAAAGATGAAATCCAAGTGAAATATCCAACATTTGAAAAGATATAATCATGTAAACGCAAATTATATACAATAACGTTTTTTATCCAGAAAATTAGTGAAAGTTTCAAAAGCTAACAATATTAAGTGCTGGCAAGAGTGTGGAGAAAAATAATCTTTCATAAAATCTGGAGATCAATTTGGCAGTATCCAATAACATTAAAAATAGAAATAGCCTGTAGTAGTATACACGGAGGCAGTACTAGGAAGTTCATTGCAAATTGTTGGCAATAGTGAAAAAGTATGAAGAAGTTAAATATTCACTAACATGAATGCAAATAAAAATTGGCATTTAATCATACGATGGATTACTATTTACCAGTCAATAAGAATAGGTCCACCTATGTTAATTAACAAGGGAAGATGTTCAAAACATTTGTTGAGTAAAACAATTTCAAAAATAGCAGAACTTGGTGATGTTACTTATGGAAGACCAATATAAAGCAAAGTAAACATACGTCAGTATATATCCAGAATGTCAGGAAACAACCACAATAAATGGATAAGAGTTTTTCTATTGGATTGTGGGATAGACAGAAAGGACCGACATTGAAAGAGATGATCAAAAGGGCTTTTGCCTCAATAATTTATTTCTTCAAATAAGGAGAATGTACAATTATATTTCTCAGGTTGTTCAAAATTAAATATAAAATGTTAAGATAACTGCTCCAAAAATAGAAGTAAAATGTATAATCCACAAATGTGTTGAGGAAATTTAAGAAATGGATAAAACTTAGTAGCAAGCAAGGAAAAATGTAAAAAGAAATAAAGCATAAAAATAGAAAATAAAATTAAAAGGGGGTAAGAGCAAGAAATACATTGGAATCATCACAGTATATATGAATGTATTGAATTTCTATTTGATAGAGGCTGTTAGATTAGTTTAAAAACATCTGGATATAAGCTGCTTATAAAAGATACCCTTGAAACTAAGTGACATAAAAGCATTGAAAATGACAAAATCAATGAAGTTTTATTTCAAAAAATACAAAAACAAAAAAGCAGACATGTCAGCATTACTAAGGGATACAATAATTTCAAAGAGGAAAAATTAAAAATGAACATTTTCTGTGGATAACAGTTACACTCTAACCAAAATAAAATTTTTATTAATTTTTATGTCCTGCAAAAACACAATACTGAAAGCAAGAACTGCTACAAAGAAAATAAAAATATGAATTAACATTACATTTGGAGACGGTAATGTATTCTCAGCATCCATTGGGAAAAAAAAAGGATGGAGATGATTTGATCAGAATGACTTACAAGCTTACTTACAGCCAGAAGACAATTGTCCTGCATGCTGAGGACAAGAAAATGAGACCCTAAAAGGTTGTGCTCTGCTAAGTTGTTGCATAAATATAAAGTAAAAGGCGGACATTCTCCAACATGATACATTAACTAAAAAATCAATGTGCAGAGCACACACACACATAGATAAGCATCTGAGATGATCAAACTTTTAGGATTGGCTACCTCGGTCCAGAGGCACGAGACTGGAGCTGGTTGTGTGGGGAGGAGGATGAGTTGCCATTTTCCTCTCTATATTTCTGTATTGGTGCGCATTTTTTTCACAATAAATTTGAATTCCTTTTGAAATATTTTCATAAAGAGGCATTTCTTAAAAAGAAAAATAAAGAAAGAAAGGAAATGAGGAAAGAAGGAAGGAAGGGGATGACAGAGGGAGGGAGGGGAAGGGAAGTGGGAAGTGGGGAGGGAGGGAGGGAAAAGTGAGTAAGCATAGCAGTTAGGATACCAGGTAAATTTCAACAGATGATTTGACAGTATCCTAAGGGCAATATTAATGATCTCAGACAGCTAGTTACCAATATTAAATCTTGTATAATATCTGTTTACAATGTTTAAGTTTGGAAAACAATGAAAGTAGCTGCTATTTAATGAGGTTTAATATATGCTAGGCATTTAATATATGTATTATCTCTTTCAATCATTATAATAAACTTGAAAGTTATTATTCTCACTTTAAAGATGGAGTTTGGAAAAGCTAGGCAATTTTCTCCATGTTTCTTAGCTAATAACTGGCAGGGACAGGAAGCAAACCTGACAGAGCAGGAGCACATCTCAGACACACACCGCTAATTTATGTTTCAGCTCCCTTTGTAGCCCCATGCATTTCAAGGAAATCACTTCTCTTTTAACTACAAGCAGCCAGAAAGAGCAGACAGAAAAACACAGATAAGACAGCTCTGGCACAGAGGGAGGAGGGAGCAAAGTCTCTTGGGTAACTGCCCAACTTCATCCTCACACAATGAGCCCCAGTTAAACAGTGGGCCTTAATAAGCACATTCCTTTCCCTTTGGGTGCACTGTCAGGGAAGCTAAAAGATAAGAAGCTAAAAGTGGGGTATGCCTGCATATGCAGAAAGAGTTATGGGAACAGAGACACAACTCTCCCTCCCAGATAAGCACAACAAAGAGACAAAGAAGCAGTTGAAGTCTCTGATAAACTCTCCCACCCTGAATCCTTAAAAACTGTTAGTCTGTAAGGAAGTGTGCCTCTGACCTA